TAAGCACTCAAATTAACTCTGTGTTTAAGAGAAGATGCGTTTTTACAGCTGCTTAAAGACCTTGGCCTTCATCATGTGTCATGGTCTCTAAAGGACAATGTTGGCGAGTTCTGTAACTTTCAAATTTTTATTGGTTTTAAATGTGCTTAGAAGAATGAATTATGGTTTATTGCTTAGCTTTCTTAGGAGCACTGGAAATCACACAATGTGAGGAGTGTACAATTAGTTGTAAGGCAATGCAAACCAGCATAAGCATGGGCATTACATTCATTCTGGGAACAAAAAGCCAGAGTATCCAAAAAGGGGGAAGTAACCTCCTGATTTCTTCTTCAGCCACTCACAAAAATCAGATTCAAGTTGATACTATGTAAGAATTGTTGTACACAACGTGTTAAGCAAAGTATGTTCCAATTCAGCATCCTTGGGGGATGGGGGAGGTTTTGGAAATGGTATTGGATCTAAGATAAACAGCCATCTTATCTAAAAAGAAGGCTTACAATACTTGAGATCCAGAATGATTGAAGAACTGGAGATAAGATATTTATGCATTTTGCTGTTTTTATGAAAAGTTATGACTGTTTCCAAGGCTCAGTTATTTAGAATAAGCTAAGGTCATGGTTGGAGCAACCAGCTGCAGAACAGACAGCTGGAAAATGACCTAGTGATTGTATGAGCATCCTTCCATATGTTTCTGATTTACAATCAGAATTTTTTAAAGCTGAAGACATTACATTTATTCTTTGCGCTTCTGGAAAAGAAAGAGAGTCCTTGTATCGGTTACTGAGTTCTAAATGAATAAAGTACATCTTAAAAAAAAGAAAATGCACAGGTGTAATTAGGAATCAAATAATTACAAATACAACTGATAAGTGGAGTAATGCTACGGTCTGCTATTCACTCAGCGCCCTGTTCTGAAGATAAGTTCTCTTGAACTTTTACATACTTACCATCAGTTAAATCCCGAATTAAAAGCCAGCCTGCTTCAATTTATTAAAATGGCTTGGAATTACTAACCAAACGGAGGTGACTTTTTATTAACAGTATCACTGCTTTAGAGCCATTGCTGTACGTCCGTGGGGACACGAGATGAGGCTCCAAGGCTCGCCGGCCTTATAAGCACTTCAGTTTGATATTCCTGTCGTGTGCTCCTTACATTATTCATAGCATCTCCTTTATGCACTGTATTTATGGTTAGTCATCGTATTTGTCTGTTTTGTGCTCTTGTACATTTTAATAGAGGAAGGTTAGTTGTTTTTTTTCCTGTTGATATTAAATTTATGACATGAATTACAAGATCAAGTGATTTGATTTTCTTTTAAAGGTCTAGATTGTTAGTAATGTAAATTTGGGATAAAACTTAGAGCATCGTATGATAATTCTGTGTATTTGTTAAGTTTTATGACTTTATTGGTTATGCATTGATCGGTTAATTCTGGAAAGTTTATACACCTGTAATATGAAAATGATTATGAAATCCTTAACATTTCTTTTGGTACATAATATTTTTGTTTAAAAAATAGTGTATCTTTTATTTCATATAGGAAATTCCTATGTTTATTGCTTGCAGTGATCAAGTTGGTAAGCAGAAGGAAATTGGTTCATGCTATAGGAGTGGAAATGGAATAAGTTATAAGAAGTCAAAGAAGAAAGCTTGAAATGTAAACCATCTGTTGTCCCTAAAGGGACTTTCTGTCCTAATCCATCTAATTTATTATCATAATACTGAAATAAATATCTCAAAGAATAATCTTCATCAGTATTAAAGCCCAACAATCAAGAACAGAAAAAGGAAAAATAAGTTCCTGCTGTTCTGAGACGAAGGAAAGGAACGTGAACAGTGGGGTTGAAACTGCTGTTACTTTATTTTTGCTTTTTTCATTATACCTGTATCATACAGTACAGACAGTGGAAAAATCAGTTTGTCAGTCATGTAGTTCTGAGAGCTTTGGTTTTGCAGTCAAAAGCTTAGCTGTAACTGAATGTTTTCCAGAAATCCATGAGATTTTCTCTATAGGCTTACATAGGTATCAGAATCTAAATAGGTTTTTTTATAGGTATTTATAGGTACTTAGCACTAGCAGTGCTCTAATAAAGAATTGCTAATTACCATGGATTGTGAATGGTACTGAGCTTAGATTACAAGAAAGTTCCACCCTTGTTTATGTAGATAAGACTTGGAAAACACAGTTCTTCTGAATAGTTAGGCCAAAGTTGAAAGCAGAAATGGAGTTCCATGTTTATCAGTTACTGTGTTTTCTGGTTGTGTTTCTGCTGGTATTTTCATTGGATCAGGAGCACTTTTTTGAAGTGAATCTCCTGGTAAGGCCAAGTCACTGTATTTTGATTCGTATCACAGATCTCTTAGAACTACTTGAACTTGGTTCTTTTGGATGTGACAATCCAGAAGATGTGTGTACTTGGGGATGTACCTGATGGCTTGTACTGCTAATGGATTTAATTAGTTGCTAGTGCTAGTTGGAATAAACATCCTTTCCGTCAAAAACTGAAGGTGGGTTTCGTGGCCTCATTACAAGTATTTTGTGTGCAAATCCACCCCTAGTGCTTCACCTTAATTGCTCATGTGGATGCAGTACTAGAGGCCAGGCTCTGTTTCTGTATTTGCTGTATTTCTGTATACAAACCATCGGACTTTTTGATACTTATTTAGTTCTTAATTTAAGAATCTGTTTTCTTTTGAAAAGGCCCGTGTAATATCCAGAAAATAAATAACAGAGCAAGCACCCAGGTAGCTCAAGGGGGCAGAACTCTACAGTGCTCTTAATGTCTATGTGAACAGCAGAATGGTGTCCAGCACAGGAGCCCCTGTTGATGTGGTACCGTCTGTTGTTACTTTCAAGTCTTGCTCCTGAGCAATGGGAGTCAGATCATGAATTTTTAGTTTTCACATGGAACTAGTGGTATCTTTTCCACGGATATCACTTTACATTTAATAATGTTGAATTTGCTTGCTTTCTTAGCATCCTGGAAGCTGGTAATTCTTCACTAGTTCTTAGCATTTTGTCGTCATCTCACTGATCAGTCCAGTTTGTTTATTTTTTTCCAAGTATATTAAATAGAATAAACCTAGGCACAGGACTTTTGCTGAACTCCTACCTGTGGACTCCCTCCATAATCAGAACTGACTATTCTTAAGCTGTCTCTTTTATTTGCTTTAATCTGTGCTGTTACCTCTTAATCTGTGGCAGCTAATTGTTAAAAGTTTGACTTTAATGCAACTTCAAAAAATAAAGCTAAGCAGACAGTTTCTGATCTTGTGTGTGTGTGTGTATGTGTGTGTGTATACACACTACTATAACTGAATAGTGTTCTTTTTAAGGCTGAAGAAGCCTTCAAAAAAGTGTCTTAATTTTGATTGTGCATTCTTCACTTAAAAGCTGAAAGAGGTGAAGATCTGCAGTTAACATACTGTGTGTTTATTTTAATAAAACTATTAAAGTTACAGGTGCTTATATTTGAATTTGTGTATGTGATGTCCATTACGTTTTTGAAGAGTATTTAAATATAATGAATATATTTATGTTTCTACGTGAAGCCAGAGGGTTCTTGAGGTTGATAAATGTTAATTGATTTTTTTTAACAAAGGAAGATGCATTCTGAAAAGCTGAAGCTAGATGTTTACGAATGCGTACCGTATCTTCATGGTCACTGCGCACGTGAAAAGAAAAAAATGTGGGTGCAGAGGAAAGAAAGAAGATGGAGGTAGTTCACATAAGTCTCCAAATCGCCTATGATCCTGTACATTTTGTATGCATAGATTTTTCAAAGAATTTGTTCTTAAGGACATGGTTATTTTCATGTGCTTATGAGGGCTTAATTTCAGTTTATAAATACAGACGCATGATTAAGGTTTTTCAGTTTGTTAGCATATTATTTGTTGCATTAGAAAACAAAATATACTAAGAAGGACTTCAGAAAGTAACTGTTACTATAAGAAAGCTAAAACTTTTTAGAAATTCTAGTACACATTTGCTTGTCTATTTCTATATTGCACTTCTAGTTTCCCTAAACTTAAACAATAATATAAATGTGGTAGCGTGATGTATGGCTTATTGCACTTGTGTTCTTCAGTGAAGTGCTGAAAAAATGAAGAATTTAATTGAACTAAAGGCCTTATGTGCTCTGTGTTCTTACCTTGTAGTGACTTGAATCTCTTTAGGTATAAGACATAACAAAAGCTTTCCATAGCTCAGACAATGTATGCTACTTTTCTTTGGATTACTTGAAGCAATTTTTGCTCAACTTTGAAGCAGGGGGTGCAGCTTATTGGTATTAGTTATGCTGAAGGGTAGTCTAAATTGTTAATGAAGCCTGGAGTGCCACTATCTGTGCCTGCTCTAGCTGATGTGCAGTTCTAATTAAAGCATTAAATTTAAAATGCCTTCTAAAATAAAACAGTACTTCTGTCTTACCTGTACTTTAGTCTAATGGTTCAGAGTTGTGTTAATGCACACCATTAAAACCTTTGAAAAGTCGTTCATTGCCTTCATGTCTAATCAACTAAAATCTTTTTGAAAGACTTGTGATAGCTGAAGCACAGGTTGAGAAGTAAAGAATACATCTTGGCACAAACAGTATATTAAGATCTGAAACTTGAAAGTTTGACTTTCCTTTTCAATTAGATATTGAATGAATCAACATTTGAGGAAGATGTGCAACAACACTGTGATCTTTTGTGATCTTGCTCTCATGTTTTTCTCTTGTATGTCTATTTTCTACTGTTTTCTTACTTCTTCCAGTAGTTGAACATCTAGCTGGACAGATTTTTGATGTTGTCCACATATTCACATATTCCTGTTGAGCATTACATCATCTGTGCTATAAATTTTAGCAAGTAGAATCACTTTAGAACATGGAAGTTCTAAAGTGAACTTTTTTCTACTGCTTAATGCTGCCAACGCACAAATAAGTCCATCATCAATACTGGTTATATATCATACTGCTACCAAATATTGACATGAGTATTCTTGCTGTTAGTATTAAAATTTTTTTTCTGCATTGCTAATGGCATATTTATGTACACTAAAATTCTATCTCCATGTTATAGATTATAGCTTAAAGATCCCAAAATATTTAACTGTTCTAAAATGGGCACAAATACTCCACAAGTAAGGAAGAATTTCTGTATGTACTCATTAACAATGATTATTTCACCAAAAGTGAGGAAAAAAATAGTTTTCTGCTTCATGCTCTTCCTCAGTTTCCTGATCATGTGTTTCATGATCATCTTCTATTTCGTCGTATTCTTCTGGTGTTAAAAGTCGTCGAAACACTGCTGCTCTGATTTGTGTGGACTTGTTGCCGTTTCTGTTTTGTTCTCCATAGTAAATGGTTCTAATATGAGGGAAGCAAAAGAAGGCATAAGTGCTTATTGGAGCTGTTAGCTTATTTTGGTCCACCCGTAGATAGGTTAGCTGGTTGGTGTTCATTGGATCAATAGATGGACACATCAAAGTAACATTTATCACTGTAAGAGAGAAAAATTTTAATTAAAATTCAGAAGATAAGGTTATATTTAAGAAGTATTTCATAATTGAATTTTGGAATTTAAAATGGAAAATACTTGTGATGCATCATATTATAGCAGCCTTTCCTCTGTTTTAAACCAGTTTCATACATGACAATTATAACAGTTCTAGAATTTGGAAAACATAAGATTGTGGGTAAAATGTATACATATAGTGTGGGTGCAACTACAATCTTAATTACTATTTTATATTAATTGGATATTTTTCATACAGTTTTTCAATTCTTATGTGATTTTTCAGTTGTTTCATCAGAAGAAAGTTTCAAAGTGATTTTAGGAGTTAAATGAAAAAAATTGCGGAATATTTACAAAACATCCACTTGGAAATCATGGGAAAACAGGAAAATAAAATCCTTTCTAGGTTGCCTTTGTTTCTTCTCAGCTAGCCAAGGATGTGTTTACATTCCATCTTGAAGAAGATGGAGCCGTACCTTTCCTGTGCTGTAAGTTAGAAGCTGCATAGCATGAGAGATATGTTGTGTATGAACTTTGGGTCAGTGCCTCGTTAGCTGGTTGGTTCAGAACATTAACAGCTCAATCTCGTACGTCTGCAAAGAGGGCTATCGTAATACTTCTTGAACAACATGCAAATTTGGATGACTCCTAGATTGTAAGCTTGGATTTTACACAACCCATCAGCTGACAGGTGACAGGTCTTCCTAATCAGTGACAAAATAAGTTTCTGATAGTTTTTGATTCAGGCTAAGGGATTAGGTGGTAAAGTAAAAGCTCATCCCACCCTCTGCTCCTTACAACCAACTCCAAATTCCATTTCTACATTTTTCAGCTTTTCAAGAGTGAAGAGCTATCAACGTACTTTCAATGTCATTGTCTTCAATATACAAATGCTGCAGACTTCTTGGAATATAGAATACTTGTTTCAATTTGTTATGTCCAAGGTTAAGTTCTATAAGGTTTGGTAGATTAATAAAGGTGTTGCGTGGAACGTTCTGCAGGTTATTGTGGGACATTCTTAGGGCAATGATTTTGGGGAGTTTGCTGAAATAGTTTTCTGGAATATAAGAAATGGAGTTATTTTCTAGAGAGAGATACATAAGTGACGACGGCAGGCTGGGAGGCATGGTCTGTAATTTGTTGTTGCATAAATTCAGCTGCATTAAGTTGCTCATGACTGAAAAGTGATTTCCTTTGAGTACTGAATCGTCAAGCAAATTATTGCAGAGGTCAAGCATGGTGATGTTTGGTAATCCGTCCAGTGCAATTCCAGGTAACTGGGAAATCTTATTGAAGCCAAGGAGGAGTCTCTCCAGAGAGCTGGGAAGTGGGAATGGAAATTCATCTAATTCATTGTGCTGTAAGTGAAGCTGCACTAAGTTTGACAATTTGGCAAAAACACCACGATCAATCATATGAGACTTAATTTTGTTGAAGCTCAGATTAATTTCTCTTAAAATGGTAACGTTAGTGAATGGTCCTGCAGGTACAGCTTCAATATCGTTGTTTTGCAGATAGAGTTGTTGGACGTGAGCAGGGATATTTGGTATTGTTTTAAGCTTACGATGGTCACAGTACATAGATAGCGGAAATTCTGGCGGACAAAAGCATTCTCTGGCACACTCGACTGGAAAAGGAAAGTGAGGAACCTCGGCTTGTGCGCCTGGATTAGAGTTAAAATAATATGGATGTTGATGATCTGGCTCATCATATTCGTCCCCAAAATCGTAGTCTTCATATTGGCAAAACGCAGCGGTGGTCCAAAGGAGGTAAATGATGGATAGTTGGCTCAGAGTCCCCATATTTAAATTGGTACTTCTACCCTGTTGATGAGAAAGAAAATAAGATGCCCAGGTAGTCATAAGTGAAATCACATATGAATCTCTCAGTGTCAAGGAGAAGCAGTATAAAACTACTGTAAATAAGCAGAATGACACATTTTTTTTCAGAGCCCTGTCAACAGTACTACTAGCAAAAACATTTTCTAGTTTGGATCTTTCAAGAAACAGCCATAAGCAACTGGCCTTGAAGTAAACTGAACTTTTCCTGTCTGAATTCTGATTATGAAGAGCTTTCTACCTGTGCTGTCCCTGATACTGAAGTGTACCGTAAGAGATGGGAGAAGGAGCAGGGAAATGGGAATGGGAATGTCTTCATTCCTTTCTCACCTTAATGTGTTACAGACAAGTTGCAAAAGAACTGTGTGTATGAAGTCCTGTGCAATCTGGGTTGTTAGACATTGTAATTGTTGCATTCTTTCCAGTATAGTGGGTTAAGCACCAGCCTAACGGATTGATTTTGGATGGGTGCAGGAAATCAAGTACTTACATAAGATGCATGAGTTACTCCTCACTGCAAAGATAACACAACTGGTTCTTTTTATTCCTGCTTACCAATAGAAGTTACTCCTTGGAAGTCTGGGAAGCTCAAGTTGTGGAAGGGAGCAGCTTAGCGTGCTGATGAAATCATCTGAGCAATAGCCTAACACAGCTGGAGGAACAAAAGATGTCCCTAAACCATACTTTGTGGTGAGGAGCCTTGTGGGAAGGCAAAGTAAAATAATAGCTTTAGTCCCTCTTCTGATTTGCCAGCGAAAAAAAAAAGCATTGTGCCACATCATCAGCTATTGTTGGTGCGGTGTCACAAGTCTGCAGGGAGATCCATTCTGTTAAAATCACTTTTAAAAAAATTTAAAGTACTTCTTCAGTGTTATCGGTTCATTAAAAAAAAAAAAAAAAACAAGTGTATGACTTCAAAAATATTTCAGAGGTCATGAGTTCATTTTGTGGTTTCTGTTACACTCAATCCGTTACCCAAAGAGTTCGTTCTTTTTGTTTGTTCTTTGGAGGGAGGAGGAGGTTAAGAAACAGTACAGCAAAAAAAGAAAAATCAGCAACCAACTGGCCAAAATCCTGACCTTGTGAAAGCTGAGGGAAAGCATGTGCTATAGAAAGGGTCCTGATGAATATCTTCAAATGTGTGCTGGCTTTTTTTCACTTCTCTGAATTTCTGTATTTCTGTATTTCCTGTTCTGCAGGAAGCAAACGCTCAGGCTATACGGCTTTAATATGTAGTGTTTTAAAATTCATAGTAAGTTTCCAGCATGTTTGTGGTAGCTTGTGTACAAAGAGTATGAGCTTTTGTATGAAACGGCCAGGAATGACATGAGAGATATAAACCAGCTTTGTGGTATGAGTGGAAATATTTTCCCCAGCTTTACAAGGGGATAAAAAAGAAAAGATATCATTGTGTTATTTTGCTGGATTACAGTACTTAGGATATATATGCAAAAATGGAGAAAAGGAGGGGGTGAGTTTATTGTTGAAGTAGAGATGTTGTTCTGGGTTAGTTGTGTGATTCATCAGAAAGCTCTAGGGAAGCAGTTTATTATAGTTCTGGATTGGTAAAAGAGTTGCATTATTTCTAAACCTATTGACAAGGAAAATTCTTCATCGAGAAAAGAAAATAACACAATAGTAAATTCTATTTTGGCTTTGAGCTTCCTGAGGTTGATCTATTTGACCTTTCCAAGTTTTTTTCTGTAGCATTGTGGACTGGAAATTATTAAAGAACCAAAATCACGCATGGTTTTATTTGGAATATAAACAAAAGCATCAGAAGTCAGGAGCAACAATAAAGTTGTAGGAGCAGGCAACATGGAATTAAAATTACAGCAATCATGTATTTATATGCAGAATACAGAACTGCAAAGGTTGAAAGAGTGAAATTAAACCTAAATAGTGCCTTATGAACTGTACTGTAAGCAGTTAAGTCACTACCATGGTGTAATTAAACCTAAGTAATATCAAATAACGAGTTACTGTTTTTTTTTAAAGTAATTAGAATATATTCCTAATGCTGAACCAGAGAAAGACATTTGAATTTATAACACCAGCCAGTGAAGTGTTACTGACTGCTACCAAATTAGTTGGTTTTATATTGATTTGCTTTTTAAAGTGGAAGTCAAAGGATATAATGCACAGTTTTGGAAGATCTGTTATATAAACAGTTCAAAATAAGGCACATGCAAGAATTAAAGCTATTTTCTCTAAAAATAAAATTTAACCAAATTTAAATTTCATACCTGATAGTTTTGTGTAGTTTTCTACTTATGATTGCGTCCTGAATCCTTGTTAGTTATTAGAAGACTTGAAATCTCACCATACATTTAAAAATCCATGATGACAGAGGAAAAGAGCCTGTCCATCTGAGAACTGTAGCAAAGCTCTTCCTTTACAGCATATATAGTTGCAGAAGATGATGCAGGGCCAGCCATGGGACGTATTAAGACTCATTTCTTTTTTTTGTTGCATGAGCTGTCTTGAATGTAAACAAGTTCTACTTTGTCATCTTGGTGAAATCTGTGTGGTTGGATCATCTTCTAGCTTTGGTCTGAACTGTGGTAGGAGTTTCCTTACAAGGAGGATAATGAGAGGATTAAATTTAACATCATGCCCACAAGACATCTTGTTTCGAAGGCTGTGACAAACCTTTTAAGTTCACTCGAACTTTTTAAAATAACATGTCTGAAGTTTTGAATTTCTTATTAACTCATTCAATCAATGAGAATTGTTATTGCTTTCAACTTTGGGTCTGAACTGAAGGCATTAGAGAGAAGACTGTTCTAATATTTAGTGATTTTAGGTGCTTAGCTTGTTGAATAAGCATGAACTTAAAAACTGTCTATTTGAAGTACGGAAGCAAAATACTTCCAGAGTAGGCAGGGAATATAACCACTGACAGCACAGCGGTGTGATTCGTGAGTCCAGAATCTTCACTTGGCAAATTGAAGAAAATCTATAGATAAGAAGATAAGAATTGACGATGTTGATTTGTTGCTTTCAGTGTCTGTACTGAAGAAAAGAGGATACATGATTAAATATAATGAGGAAATCTGAATGCTGTAATTTGGTTCCCATAAAGCCTATGGGTTTCTGAAGAAAGAAACAACCTCAGGCATGAATTATCCACATTGGGCTGCACTTCTAAGTCAGATTGTAGGCACAGAAAGAAAATACAGAAATAAAACTCTTTGCATCCTAATTCCTAGGTCTTAATTTGTTACTCACAAATGCTGTCAGCAGACCACTAGCAGCCTGTGTGACTGTTGTATGTGACCTGCAAAGGCACTTCTTGTTTGTGCTTGCTATTAACAGTAGTAACAGATCGTCAGATTGTTGCAGAATCTATTTATCCTCTATTTATCCTCTGCAAGAGCAGGCTGGAAAATGTGGGTACTGAAGCACAGAGCTCTCAGCTAATTAGAAAATCAGATACTGAATTGCTCAATTTTGCAGGGCCTTCAGTCCAGCCAGAGCCTGCCCAGAGTACCAGGTAATAACAGCTCTTAAAGACTTCCTGCTGTTTGGTGGAAAGTCATGCGCTGATGATGTCCCTGTGCAAATATGCATTTTTAAAGGTTGATGAAAAGGGGGGTCATTGAATAGTAAACAGGAAAGCTGTTCAATATGTGAGGCCATGGCTGCCCCTCACGTGGCCCTTACAGTGTGATCTCTACCTATTTCCCATTTTGTAGGTGATATTACATGATGAAAGCTCTGCAGCCCTTGACTTATGCAGTCTGTTTTACGCAAAGTGTTCTGCTTTCTAGGAGCTCGTATGAAGGATGTGTTGACCAAGAACAGTTCAATATAGGAAAAGCTACAACTCAAAAATAATTCTGGAGATTTACTAGACTGGAGATATTGCACATATTGACTCTTTCAGTCTGTTGCAGGAAGAGCATGTGTTACATTCATAGGTGGGTTTTCTTTTCTACAGCAGGGGCATTGAGTTAGTCCTCGTGTAGTTTCTGTTGCTATAATAGCAAGTAGTCAAACAATCAATGCAGACAATAAAGAGTTTAAAATATTAAAAATATTCCTTCCTACCACTTCCTCCCAAGTTGGTGCCATCTGCAGACTTGCTGAGGATGCACTCAATCCCCTCATCCAAATCAATCAATAAAGATATTAAGCTTTATGGGTACAACGGTCACATTTTCATACTTTTCCTGATATCTTAATTTACATCAATCTTTTTTATTAGTGTTTGTTCACTTCTAGCTGCAGGTTTAATGCATTTTTGTAAGGTACCTGAAATATACCTGCAACTTCAGATTGTTCCCATTGTTGTCTTCAATCTGCAAATCATATGTACATAGCTTTCAAAAACCAGCTTTTTTTCTGTAGAGACTTCATGACAAAGACAAGGGGTAGTTTTCAAGGTTATCTGCCAAGCAATTCCTGGATGATCACGCATAAGAAAATGTTTTGCACTGACAGCGATTTCCCTAATGTACTTATGATGGAAGATACTTTCTCTTTACTCTGTTATTTAGAGTTTGTTCAATGACAAAATCATTGCTTTTACAATGACTGTTGAATAAATCTACTTGTGTAGCACAAGAGCTTGTAATGCTAGTATATGAGCATGCCATGACAGAACAGAGTCTTGCATTGGATGAAACTCAGTATACCTAGACCTGTATCCACATTTCAGTAGGGGCTGACAGCAAAGTTGCAGGAAAGAATAGAAGAATGTGACAAGCAGTGAGTTGTGTCTGCAGTACATTTTCTCTGCAGCCAGAAACTGTGACTTGGAAACTTCCATAGAAACACTGAGTATTATTACATGTTGTCATTCATCTGTGCGTGTCCCTGGCATCTCCACTTATAAGGAAAAATATGATCTCGGTACTCTTCCTTCCAACCAGTTAATGCTCTGTTTTTCTGGATTTTCTTTATTTAACTCTGTTAAAGGAAGATACTTTTCCATACAGCTGTATTCTACCAGATGTGGAAGTACATTTGTTATTTTATTTATGGCGAGTAATCAACCTGAAGTTATTCTACTTTGCCTGAGTAATTGTGAGAAATGGCCTCTACTTGGTAGAGCTGAGGCAGTGTCTCATAATTGCTTCATCCCATCAATCTGTGGTGGGAAGCTTTCTATTTCTTCTATCGTTAGCTGTTCTGAGATTCTTGAAAGAAAGACTACTGGCTACTTCTGGTGAGGATTTCAATACAGTTCAATATTCTTACAGTCAGCTGCTTGAAAAAAAAACAACTCATTCCTTTACCTGTTCCAAAGAAATATTCATGGTAGCCACCATTTCACTAGGGAGGATGAGGTGATTTAGGCATTAGTTACTGATTTTCCATGGAAATCAAATGAGTGTTCTTGTTACTGTTATGCTTCCAGCACCTGGCTGTTGCCTTTCCCTATCGCTGTTCAGGAATAGATATGATACATGAAAATAGCCAAAATATAAATATTCATAATGCTTTTCCTCTTAATAAATTTTAGCTGAGTTTTAGTCTGGTGATGGCATGAGGCCAGCGCTTTGATTGAGGGGTTAGATTGAACATTGTCAGAACTGAGCCTATGGGGTAGCTGCATTTAAGAATCTCAATGCTCTACATCTCCATATGACAGCTGTCCAAACCTCCCATCACACCTTTGCCAAGCACTAGGCTTCTTGTTGGAACTCACAAATCTGCATGCTGTGAAAGCAATCAGGGACGTGAGTTGTCTAATTGTTTAGAACTGCCAGTGGCTGAACTAGATAATGGACTGACCCTCTAGAGTGTGTAAGTGAAGGGCACTCTTTGGAAGGAGAGAACAGTTAATCTATGAAGCAATTGCACTTCTTACAGATGTATTTTCCATAATCACATATTCTCATCTTCTCAGGTTCCTATGCACTCTGCCTTTGGGAGGGAACTGTTAACATGAGACATGTGTTACCCTTTCTGTTCTCAGCACAAAGCACAAGAAGCAGCAATACACGTCTATAATATACAGCTACTACTGCAGCAAGACGTTCCTGATAGCAGCAGTAATTAAAGATCTCTTCATGTATGTATGCTTTGAAGGAAAGTGCATGTGGAAATCATCTAAACGATTTTTAGGTAGTGTGGTAAGAAACTTTTTTTTAATATGCATTGCTTTAATTGCTTTATCTTAAATCATACAAGCTTTTAATAAGGAATAATGAGTTTTTTCTTCCTTTGGGTAGAAGCAGTAAGAAGAATGCAGTATGCTGAAGACTTTGAAAATCAGGCTTGGTTTCTACTTTTCTGAAATGTTGTGATTTCGCATTCATTCTGAATGCACTTTATTGAGCTTTGAACAGGAACACTGATTGTTCCTGGAAGGCTTTATCATCGAGAATTAGTTTTCAGCAGAGACGAAATACACAATAATTACAGTACTAATTGCATTATTTCCTACAGATTCTATCTTGGCAGTGGTTTCAAGGAAAAACAGTGGCCTATTAACCTTCTACTAGCTTATTCTGTTTTATATTCTGATAAGTTTATTGCTCTATTGTATATGTAGCTGCTTATAGCTAATCTTGATGGTTATTTGATGAATAAGGAATCTCTTACCATGTTTAAGAGAACACTTTAAGAACTCTGGCTGTGATAGTGGTTGATGGAGGTTGGAAGCACGTTTCCTTCTGCATGGCATCACAGTAGGTTTTGTCTTCAGTTCAGAGTGTGCCAGTCCTACAGGCCCCAGTATAGAAACATAGTTTGTCAAGTGTGACATAAAGCTATTAGCTTTACCAGTAGAGGTAGATGTCTGCATGCAGTGTAGCTTCTACAAGTATTCTAAGTGTTTTATCTCTGAATTTTTGGTATTATGAGAAGATTCTGCTGGCTCTTCTTAGAGAATAGTATTATGCATTTTCTGAGCTCGAGGGCAGAGCATTACACTGTGCTGGCATGTACTTAACAGTTCTGTATCTCTGAACATTGTTTATCTTTCCTTTTCTATGTTGTCTTACAAACAGTAAAGTTCTTCACAAAATCAGATTTGGCATTTGAGGTAATAAGAATGTTTGAAAGCATATATAGGAGGTTTACATCTAAACGGAAATTGTATACAGTAACGCAAAATATAAATGAAAATTCTGTTATTGGAAAATTAGAGGAATTCTGTGGAAGTACTGATTTCTGGCTATGAAACTCTTTGAGCAAGTAATAACACTGCATGACAGCATTTCTGCTGGAGAAGTGAGCAGACATTGCTTCCATTATTCTTGCAGAATAGTTGGTTATTGTACTGCTGCCTGAATCTGAGCATCTCTTGGTCAGGTTAATAGGTAAATGATTTCTTCAGTCTTCATGTAGAAAGGTTAGTCCTGTTGCTG